TCCCTCAACATGACCCTACAGAAACAAATAAGTTTATTTGCATCCCCTATATAGGTCCTGTATCCAAACGTATAGAACAATGTTTCACTAAATACAATATCTCAGTAGCCTACAAAACCCTAAACTCCCTCTAATCTTTGTTCCCTAGTTCCAAATCACCTATCCCCTCCATTGAAAGAAGTGGAATTTATCATCTAACTTGTAATAACTGTAATTCAGCATTTGTAGGCCAAAGAGGCAGAAAATTTTCAGTTAGAATTAGATGTTGGAAACAAAATTTAGACACTTCTACCTTTGCCAATCATTTGGTTCAATTTAACCATTCTTTTGACCCCATTTATAATTTTAAAATTCTTCACCTAGTCAACAAAGGCACAAAAATGAACATTTTGGAGAACTTGGAAATTCTAAAACTTTTCAAAAACACTAGTTTTTCTGTCTTGAAAGAACATTCCTTGATTAAATGCAGTCCCATTCTAAATATTTTATTAACTATCCCCTAATCATTTTTTTGAGTAGTCTTTTTATGACTACCCTTTCTTCTCTTCTTCCCCCACCCCCTTTCCCTTCATTGTTAGGCTTCCTCTTCTCCCATTCCAAAAGATGGCTGCCACCTAGCTGTACCAGCATGTTTTGCCACTTTATATTTTTTTGACTATTTGTGAACATTCATGGGAGATCCACGTTGCTTGAGCAGTAAGTACTTTCTTTTTGTATTTATATGAAATTATTTGTTTTTCCACTAAATTCACTGTACACCTCCCGTTTTGTGTTCAACTTATATTAATGTTTCATTTCCCTATTTTGCTAGAGATTTACTGAGGATGGGAAAAGTGTTTCCGGAAAGTTAACTATGGAAAATTATTAATAAAATTATTAAAACTTTTGTGGAGATTATTTTATTTACAATACCATGGATTACCACAAGATATCTGCTACCACCACGGAATTGAAATATTAAAGTTTTACAAGGTTCCCAAAATACAGAAAATACTTTTGTAACTTTAGAAGAAATGGGGCCTGTGCCATTTTTATAACCGTACTTTGCTCTATTCGATACAAATATTAAAACATTCGAAGTTTCGTTTTTTAGAAAATCTTTTCATATTTGTATATTCCATCAAAACTTTTTGGTATCAAGAACCCACGAAGCATGGATTTTTACTATACAATGGTTGAAAGAAGTCATCTACTATATAATTGGAAAAAGATTCATCCCCTTTTTAATAACCAAGGCCCTACAATAAGAACTTTTCTGTCGAAAAATATTTTAGTATTATTAATTAATATTAATCATAATATTTAAAATAAAATATTTTGTTTGCCAGGAGACTAACGATCCCATATTTACGGTGTTTCCTTTGAGCTCAGCAGGATACCTGCTATGCAATCGCTTCTGGGTCCATTCACTCAGCCTATCTTCTTTCGTGATACATGGTCTTTCAGAGTGCGTTTGATTCATGGTCATTGAGGTAAAATTCATGTCCGTGGCACAAATTGCTTTCCAAGATGTTTCTTGATGTCTTGTGGGATAACATGCCAAACATACGATGTTATAACTCTGATGTGATTACTAAAAAACGGTCTGACACATCAATATCATTAATAGTGAGAGACTTGTGTTTATCCGTAATATAATCAGCAAGTTTCTTTGAGCTTAAGAATACACATATCTTGTTGTTGGCGATACGTGACACAAAACGAATAGCTCTTCCTTCCATAATATAAGTTAACTTACATAGTCCTTCAGTGTTAAACCTTCACGCTCCTCGTTGATGATTGCTTGGTTCCTGGACGGGATGTTATTAGTAATAGTAGTAGTTTCAGCGTAAGAATAAAATTGTGCATTATGAGCAGTTGATGTTTGCTGTGGTCTAGGCTAGTGCCACCCGCAAAGGCAGTAGGCATACGACGCCACAATTTTATAAGATGTCACTTAATATGATACTTGATATGTAAATTATATTTTCACCAGAAAAAAAAACAACTTAACAACGCACATGCAAGCAGAGCGGGGGATGTTTCGGTACTACGCGTAGCTGTCGAATGGATTACTTTCTTAATCAAAATAATTCTTCAATATTAAGTATTTTAATTATACTATTTCAAGTTCATTTGAATCAAATTGAGACATTTTCCTTAAACTGGTAAAATATATTTTCTCGAAAACGACGACAATTTTCTCTAAATATTTGCAGAAATAGAGCGAAGTACGCGAATAAATATGATGAACATCAGAGTTTTGTTAAATATCCTGAAATTTCAAACATTGTAAATCCTAAAAATCAGGATTTACAATCATATTTTGCTGCAGATAAGGTTTTCAACAGACGACCTCGAATAATAATTATTAATATAATAATAATTATATTATGCACATTAAGCGCAGTGTAAAGCTCATCTACTTAGAACATACGAAATAGAACCGACATTCAGTGCTTAGAGCTGTATTCGAATACACAAATATTTGTGTAGATGCTCAGAGTTTGTTTCAAGGAATACGAAAGGGTCGGAAAACGTAACTTTTCATGATATGATAAGACTTGACTGCTATAACCTTCATGAGATTAATTTCCATTACGACAAAAATATCAAATTATCAGGAATTTATAGACAAGGTTTTTTGCCAGTTTTATATAAAGTGGTCGAAGGGACGCTGAGTGCCACTGGTAATTTTACTGCATACTATTCTTCCAATACCGTGTATTTAAGTCTAAAAATTCCTAACGGCTTTATAGATACGAAGAAAACTACCATATTAACTGAATTGTGTGTTGTGGTGTAAGTAGAGAGTATACTAAACTTAAATTTTATTTATTTCTTGAAAAGAAACAAAGAAAAATGACCTTTAGTAAATATTACTTTCACGAAGGTGTTCATTTCATCTCTCTTACCTTTCTCATGTCAAAGTTTATTACCTACGTATTTAAAGAGAAACGTCTGAGTGAATGTGGACAAGGCCAATAGTTCACAGTACTTTTCCACATCTTTTGAACATTTCAAACTAAAATGTGAAGCAATAAGAGATGGTGATTTTGACGTTGATGATGACGGATTATGTTTATGAAAGATAATTTAAAGATAATTAAATACGTATTCTCTGCTGTCATGCATAAATAATCGCAATTTCTTGTCGCATTTGTGAAGTCCTTCTATAAACAAAAAACAAGAAACCAAGAAAAATGAAAGATCATTTGCGTTATGCTTGTAAACAAACTGATAATAAATCTGTACTATTTCGACAACAGTATTTCGACATCTAAAATTTTAGTTTGAACATTCTGTAAGTAACGCTGAAATTTCCTCAGAGATGTACATAAAAACCAGAACTTAAGAGACATTTTTACACGGCATATCATTGGCACTTGAAGCCCTCCGTGGAAACGAAACCCGAATCACACCGCGATGCGTCACGTGCTGTAGGACTCAAAGGCGAGTGCTTCCAACCCACGGCATTCATTGTTCAATACAGACCAAGACAGAGAAAGGGTTAAACACTTTAGGCTGACACGAAAAGAACAAGGCCCAGCCACACACTAGGCCGCAACAGAAGGCTCCTCCCTCCCCCGCGTAAAAGCCAGCTAAAGAACCAAACAATGAAGAGAACGAACTGAATCCTCAGCATTGCGTCATCAGTAGACCGTCGGGGCATACTCGTATGCTCGATAGGGCGTCTCTCGACTTATGGAGATGGTGGCGAGCAGTGGCAGAAGGGAAGGCGGCGGGACGCAACATGAGAGCGACGGGCGAAAGAAAATGTGGAGACGGAGGGGGGATTGTAGGAGGAGAAGGCAACTGTGGGGGTGAAGAGCCGGAGGAGGAGGACAAGGAGAGGAGGAATACAAAAGGGCGAGCGAACAAAGAAGAGAAAAAGAAGAAAAGGGAGAGAGAAAGAGGATCAAAACGAGTAAGAGACGGGGGTTGCAAAATAATCAGAGGTAAAGTGGAGGCAGACGTGTAGGCAGAGGAGAGGAAGAATAGGATGTGGGGATGTAGGAGACCGCAAGATCCGGGAGAAGAAAGTCGAGGAGAGGGAATGAAGAGCAGGAGATGCAGGAAGAAATGGAGGTGGAGGCGAAGGAGGGTCAGGCGGGGACGGACAGTGAAGCCGAGGGCGGAGAGAGGCGGCGGCGGGGGTGGTGGAAGGTGCCGCGGGAAGGGGCGCGAGCAGCCCCCTTTTTTTGAAAATACTACCGCTACTGCTACAAGCACCCAGCGAAAATTACGAACCAACCAGTCGGCGCGGGCGCGTGCCTTCTTTTGTTTCTCTCCGC